AATTGCAAAGTTCGGCAAGTGCAAGCTCTCGTAGCGCCTGATAGGTTGGCAACATCTCGCCTGTGGCGCACGCGTGTATTGCGGGGTGGCCTACCCTGGATCTCGCAGGCGCCCAGCTCCCCGAAAATTGGACGTACTTTCTTCTGGATGATTTTCCAAGGGGACCGGTCACGCCAGCAAAAAAAAAAAAAAAAAGAAGAAGAAGCACACGTGCTGGCTGTGCTTGCAGAGCGTCACTTCTAACTTGTTCCCTCCGCCCGTCGCACTTCTCCCCGCGGGCCGGGCTCTTGCGCCACCGTCGATACGGAGCTCCTCGCGCGAGCCAAAGGGCCCCAAAGCCCCCCCAAAGGACCGTTGCGCCTCTCAAAACGGCCTGCCAACACGATCGCGTTGCGCAAGTCGCTCTGTCATCCGAAGATCCTTATCCTGGACGTGATGCCGTCCCCGGGTCCCGGGCGCCATGCCCTGCCCTGCCGTGCCCGCCGCCGTGGCTTCCTCGTCCGCGTCCGCCGGGGCCCCGGGGTATGGGGTCCGGGGCCGGAGCCGGTCCGGAGCCGCGCGTGGGGAGCTCGTCGGGGAGTTCTCATCGAGGACGCGCCGCCGGGCCGCCGGGTCAGGCCGGGCGATGTGGGGCGCCGCGCGACTGTGCGCGGGGAGCGTCCTGACCAGGGGAGGACCAGGCCGCGACCTCGCAGGGCCCGCAGGGCCAGCGCCAGCAGGAACCCGCACAACCTGCACAACCTACGGGGATTGTAGGTCCCACTCGACCCGCTGGACCCGCTGGACCGGCAGGACCCGCAAGGCCTGCAAGACCCGCAAGACCTGCGGGACCCGCAAAGACCCCCAGGACCCGCAGGCACGACCCGACGACGGCCTCGATATGGCGCGGCTCATTCTCTCGGATTTGTCGCGGCGGACGGGACGTGGACGGGACGTGGACGGGACGTGCTGGAGGCGGGTGGCGCGTCGCAGCCGCGTGTGGCACCTCGGACACGGCACATACCGACGCGCCCGCGGGTGGGCCAGAGGAACCCATTTATTTAATCGACTGTGGCCGCGCCCTCCCCTCCTGCCCCCCTTTCCCCCCT